AAGAAGGTGAGAACAGCAGAGAGGATCATGGGGGCTCCTCTTCCTACTCTAAACTCTAAATCCTTTTACAGACTCTGCATCAAACTGACCATAGCAATGCCCTTTATTGCACCATGTTTTTTTTTTCCTCCCACACTGTTTACATTTGATCACTGCAGCACTTTAAGAAATGGAAATGTCATGAGAAGTAACAACACGACATTTCATTTTACAAGAAACAATACATGTTGTCTCAGTCTAAGTAAGTCTGTTTAAGGTGTGTATTTAAAGTTGTGAAAAAAATAAAACACTCCTTTTGTTCTGATAAAGACTAAACATGGGTACTAAAAACTGAAAATACTTTAAAATAAAATTCAAATTAAATTAAAATTATTTGTTCAGTAAACTTCAGCTTTTGAAATAATGAAAATAAAATGTCTGCATTTATTTTAGAGAACATTTCTATATTTTCAGGTCCAAAGTTAGACTAAAACCTCGGGATTAAACCTTTACTTTCTGATACAAACACAAAAACATCCAAAAAGTAAACTCCGCTCCTCTATATGTAGATGATGACGGATCGGAGTGAGTTGTCTCAACAACCAATCAGCATCGCCACACCGCGCATGCGCGCAACACACGGCCTCTGTCTAAAGCATAGAGCAGGTAGTGGCTCATTACGAGTTAAAGACGATCTTTGTGGCCTTTATCAGTCTGCAGCAACATCCGGAGCTTTCCTTTCAGCCATTTCCACCTGCTTCATTGAGCTAGTGAACCCGGACCGCCTCTGGAACAGAAGCACCCAGCTGCCGTCCTCCGCCGCTCCGCTGAAGCCGCCGGGATGCAGGAGGAGGCTGGGCAGAGGAGCGAGGAGCAGCCGGTAAATTCCTCCTGGAGTCCAGAGGAGCCAAAACCGAACCGCGTAGAAGCTGATTCACTTCATTAAAGCTGAAGGGTTTAATTGATCATTTAATCTGGATCCGTAGTTAAACAATTCTTCTGTAAAAACCTCATCCTTGCTGATCCCACCTGTTTGAGTTTAATTCTTTTTATTTATTAATTGATATTTCTGCTCTGCTTTGATGTCACGAGCCAAGAAACTATTTTTAATATTCAATTCTGGACGTGAAATCGATTATTTTGTTAAATTCCATTAGACCTCAATGTAAAAAAAACAGTGCAGTTTGCTTCTAACTTGTGATGTGAGTCATATTCATGCTGCCAAGGTCAGAGTTCCTGAAGAGCTTCCAGTAAGAGAGAAAAAAGCAGCTTTGGGCTGCTGGGAATGATTCAAGGCTCAGGCTGAGCTGGAAGTCTGCATATGGGAAAACATCCAGCAGTTTGACACATCAGCAGTCCTTGGATGGGAGCATCATGGGATTTACTTTTTATTAAACTGTAGAGCTTATTGTTTCACTCCCAAACCCAATCCTTCATTATTTAGTTTGAAATTTATTAGAGCTTTTAGATTGAATGGGAATGTTTTCCTTTGACAGCTGTTATTGCACCAGAGTGGTGTGATTGAACCCCAAACAGCTCCACAGTGAGCCTGTAGGGTCTCTGCCTTCAGTCTTAAAAAGCTGCTTTAGTGAATGTGGCTGAGCAGGTTTTATTCAAACAATCAGAGGCCCTCTAGTCACATTCATGCTGTTTGGGTTGATCTTGTGTGAGAAACAAGAATCTTCCAGATTCTCAGAGTTTTTGAAAGTCTGCATTATGGTTTAATGTAATTTACTTAATATTGATTTATATTTTCCAGATCAGACCGGTTGGTCTGCGTTCTCAGAGATAATCCCAGCAGCTATAAGTGGAGCTAGTCCAGGTAAAAGCCACCTGGGGCTGTGATCACTGTGGGCGGAGCTTAGCTGCAGGTAGAAACAGGAAGTCAGACGGTGTACAGTCTGAATTCTGACTGAAACCTTTGCCTTAGTGTTTGAGTTTCAATGGAATTAAAATGTTGTTTTTTGCTTTCTTTCAGTCTTGATGTTGAGAACGCTTCTTTCTCAGGTTTAACCCGAGGCAGAACCAGAGCAGACCGGGGCGACAGTGGAGACGCTTTTGTGTATAAGGAATAATTATCTGCTGAGGGGATTGTAGACAAACCCCTTTTTTGTGGGTCGCATGACTCAGATGATGCAGCCCACAAATTCATCCTCTGCCCCCTTTCTGCGCTGTTGCGTTGCCGTGGTGACAGCATCCCAGCTGGGGGCCACAGACGGTGTTTGTGGCTGTGAATCAGGGGGACGTTGGGAGCTCTGTCTCTTCTTTTTTACATCTTTCCATGTTGTTGGAGTGGATGAGTCAGAGAAGAGAAGATGCTGGTTGTCATGGTATCCCAGGCCTTTATTAAAACGAGCGTGATTTAAGGGTAGGTTATCAATCATTTGGTCTGTGCTGCAAAAATATTTGTTTATTCCAATGATGTAGTTATAAAATAATGATGCAGTATTTTAGGAACTTTAGGATTACCTTTATACTGTAACATCTTCAACAGGTAGGCACCATAAACTACTGAGATTTCACTTTCATTTAGCTAATATAAGGTGTCCTAGTTATTTTATTGATAACCTACCCTTAAAATGAAGCTATTCTAGAAAAGAGAAAACAGAGCAGCAAGGCCAGCCCAGGACACAAGCAAACTAAGCGGCTGCTAGGGCCACCAGGCAACTAAGCGGCCCCAAAGAACAATAATTTGTTTCTGTTTGCATGTGTAGTGATTTCTTTATAAATATAGAAACAAAACCACATTATTTCCATAGTCAAATGAGTTATTTTTGCATCAGTTCGTCTGTTCTGGTGGGTAGACTTCAGAGATAGAAAACATTTGAACATCCTAAAGCACAGATGAACTTGTTTTCTTATTTAACACTCTTAAAATGAGATCTGAGTTGAATGAATGAATAGAATTTATATATATATATATATATGTATATATATATATATATGTGTATATATATATGTATGTATATATATATATGTATATATGTGTATATATATATATATATATATATGTGTATATATATATATATATATATGTATGTATGTATGTATATGTGTTTTTTTTTTTTTTATTGAATAAAGCCCTTGGTGTGTATTCACAATGAATGGTAACTGAGTCATGAAGCTGAGCATGTTTGCAGTCGGTAAACAAGGATTTGAAGTGGCTAAGCCGGTTAGCACCTCTCAGCAAAATTGTGTAAATAATTAAACAAAAGTCCTAAACCCAGAGTGAAAAAAAGACAAAAGTATTTGATTCCAACAGGGATAAGAGTGGAACAGCGCAGGGAATACCGTATGAATGTTGGTTTTCCCTGAAGAGGAAGCTAAAGCTGCTGAGGCGTTCAATGTGCCTACGGAGGTGATGGATACGGGACTTCTTTAGATCAGATTCAGGTCAGGGCTTATTAATGATGCACTTACTGCGAAAATGGCATTTAGATTGTTTAGTTTATGTTCAATGAAAAGGTTTCAGCCTATGACTTTTTTTTTTTTTTTTTAAGATTTTATATTTCTTAGTATGATGCTGTGTCTGTGTTTGCGTTAGTTAGAAATAGGAATTTTCTTTTCCCTTAATGTTCTTATAGGAGGCTCTGGGGGGGATTTAATAGAACGTAGAGCTGCTGCAGATCAGTTTATTTGATGAATAGCTGTTGGTCGTAATGGAAAGTTTTAATGATCAATAAGACATTGTTCTATAAAATAACAGAAAACTTGAGCCTGTTTTTCCATGTGTATTTGGAGACAAACAGCGTTTGAGGAGCTGCACCAAAGAGTTGGTGAATGTGCCCCGAGCAAAAAGTAATCACATCCCTAACATTCTAACAATATATATTGTATAGTCATTGGAACAACATTTCCGCCAACTCTTCAACCACACCAAACTTGACTTCACAGTGAGGCATTACAGGATGGGCATGCTCCATCTAGTAGTTTCACTATTTAGGCAATCAGTCTTTCTAATCGATTACTGCCAGCAGATGGCGCCATCTTAATCTCTGCTCATTTCGTTTGCTGCTGCAATTCTATTTAGGCTCTAAAAGAACTGTAAACAGGATGAAGTCTTGGTGTATATAACCTTATGATCAAAAGATTTCTGGTCTGTTTTATGTGGGCATTTAACGAGATAATGGACCTTTAAGGAGAGAGTGGAGAACTGAGGGACAACAGTGTGAGAGGTAAAGGTAGAGGAAGTTTAGGTTTTAAATACAGCTTTCTTATATTTATATGCAATAGCTAATTATTCATCCTTTTATTTCCATTATTTAGGAAAATGCTTGATGTTTTATAGTTTGATTTAATAATGTAATAATTGATCCACGCTGTTACACTTGCTATGCTTGGATTGAAAGTTATATATCACTCACATTGTTGTTGCAGTTGGAATCGGAGCGTATAAACCAGATGACAATTTATCTGTAAATAAACTGCATCCTAGTTTTATTTTTTTGTTTTTATATTACTTTCAGTAATATTAGAGGTAGAGATTAATCAATCTGATATCTAGATTAGCTATTGGCTTAGATATTGACTAATTTGCTGGATAGAAAATCGGTGATTCATATCAGAGATCCAATCCAAGCATCATACATGGGAATGTTATTTCTTGCTTCTTGCTGCTTATTTGTTGATAAATAACATAAAGTTAATTTATATCTATATTAATGTGTTACCTTTTTAAAAAATCTTGCATGATATAATACTGGAACCCCAGTCGGCCTCAGCAGCCGATCCCACTGAGCCTGGTTCTGCTGGAGGTTTCTTTCTGTTAAAAGGAAGTTTTCCTCTCCACTGTCGCTACAAGCATGCTTAGTGTGAGGGATTGCTGTCGAGTTAGCGAGTCGATGCAATCGGCTGGGTTTCTTTGAAAATATCTTACATTGTGTGCCTTTAAAGGAATAGTACACCCAAAACATGATTAGCCTTCATTTTCTACTCACCCCCATGCTGAACAACACTCTGGAGTACTTTTTTGATATCTCAAATGCATCTGGAGATCTGGGAGGCTTCTTGCTGTCTGCTGACATTCAAATAATGGAGGTCTATGGCGCCCGAGACAGAAAGGTCCATAAAAGTCCACAAAAAACGTGTCAATATTCCTCCATACTGCTCGTCCAATGTATTCCAAGTGTCCTGAGTGGGTAGCGTCCATAATTTACTCGAAACGAAGTCATTTAGAATGTTTTTAGAGCATAAACAGTAGTGTATAGGATTTCCTGAAAGCGCGCCTGCGCGTTCACGAGTCTACGGAAACCGCGGCAGACCAAACCAGATGAAAGTGCGCATTCAGCGTCTGCTCTGCCGATAATGCAAGCGTAGAAGAAGAAATGTGCTGTTTACCTGTGCAAAGAAAGAAACAACGAAAGAAAAATGTCTGAGGACTTCAGTGTTGAGGAAGAGCATGAGTTCTTTGCCGAGCTGAATGAGACTTTCATCTGGTTTGGTCTGCCGCGGTTTCCGTAGACTCGTGAACGCGCTTTTAGGAAATCCTATACACTACTGTTTATGCTCTAAAAACATTCTAAATGACTTCGTTTCGAGTAAATTCTGGACGCTACCCACTCAGGACACTTGGAATACATTGGACGAGCAGTATGGAGGAATATTGACACGTTTTTTGTGGACTTTTATGGACCTTTCTGTCTCGGGCGCCATAGACCTCCATTATTTGAATGTCAGCAGACAGCAAGAAGCCTCCCAGATCTTCAGATGCATTTGAGATATCAAAAAAGTACTCCAGAGTGTTGTTCAGCATGGGGGTGAGTAGAAAATGAAGGCTAATCATGTTTTGGGTGTACTATTCCTTTAATGTCACACAATGTAAGATATTTTCAATCATTGTACTTAGCTACTGTACAGCTCAAACTGTATGACGAAACCGTATGTATACTTCCACTGTACGGCCAACACTCTGATGCCATCTACCTGCTCACACTGCATGTCAAAAAAATGCCACATGTTGGACTCAGTGCCAAGAGATGGCGCTGGTCAGATTTGTCAATCTGAACAAAGAAGAAGAACTCCCTTTTGGTGAGGTGCAGATAAATCAGCTTGTAGACGTTCGTAGCTCTGCTTCAACTGCAGGATTTGCTCACGAATACCTTACGAGGGCCGACTGAATTTAAAACACCCACAATGAGGCTGAAACTTGGCCCAATCGAAAAATTCTGGTACGACTGGAGAATCGTACTGTATGCCTGACTGAGATGGAAAACTCTGAGCTAATCTGGTTGATTTGTCTCCAATTGCCTTTAGATGAGGTGTTGTGAATCGGTGCTATATAAGTAAACTGAGTTGATTCCATTTAACAGCTGAATTAGATCTTGTCAGATATCAGCTGATACGCTCAGCCAAGGTATCTGATTGGATCGGAAAAAACTGAACCATGCATCTCTAAGCACATGATGCATGTCAATAGGAGACTGTAAAGTTCCTAGTCGGTGTCTGAATGATCTGATATTCAAACTGTTGATTGCAGAAGTCCATATTATTGGCTGAAATAGAGGGACCTGAAGGTGCCTCTGTGAAGCGTGGGCCCCCCCGCCTAGAAAAGATGTTTTATTATTATTTTTTCTATTTGATAAATGCTGCGATGTTAGCTTTGCACAGACGTGGGACGGTGATGGTGCCGGTGTTGACCTGCTGTTTCTGGCTCTCCTGCAGTGAAGCGACATGGGCAGCGGCAGATGGACAGAGCAACCGTGGGCCGACCACTGACACACAGACACAGTCAGCATGGAGCAGGGCTTCAGTTTAAACTCCCTGGTGAGTTACGCCTCTGTGTTTTAAACCTGAAGGGACTGTGAGGACAGGATACTCCAGAACAACTGGTAACATTATGACAAAAAGAGTTCAGTCTAGTTTATATGAGGTTAATTTAAGGCTGAAAAAATGATTCTGAGATACTTGGCCTTTAATTACTCCACATAGATGGAGTTTAGGGTAATTTAATCGGTAAGTCAATGTTTTGTTCAATTCAAAAATTCTTTTATTAGTACCAAAGGGAAATTGAATGTTGCAATACCTCGTGGGTAATTTCTTTAACCAGGTGTTGATAGCTGTAGGCAGGAAGGTTTTTCTGTAGAGGTCTGCCATGCACCGCATCTGGAGAAGCCTCTGACTGAAGATAATCTGTTGTTGTTTAAAAATCTTCTGAAGAGGATCAAACTGTTGTCCACAATGTTCTACACTTTATGAAAAATCATCTCTAAAGGTTCTAGAGGAGTTCCTAGAACAGGCTCGCCTTCTCAATTAGCTTATTGAGCTTTTTTTAAATATTTTGCTGTTACCCAAACATAGCAAAAAAGATCACACTATCCACAACAGACTTATAGAAGATATTTAGCATCTTGTTGCAAATGGCGAAGGACTTAAGTAGGGCTGAAACAACTACTTGGATTAATCGATTGTTGAAATAATCGTCGTCTTATTTATTAATCGATTAATCGTTAACTGGAGTATAGAGACTCTGAATCAGGCCTTTAGCTGACAGAGTGACCTATTTAGAGCAGTACTTATACCAAGAGTGTAAAGAAATGTATACACATTTTGATTTTAAGATAAAAAAATAAGCTTTCTTCTGTCAATGTGCTCTATCTAGAACTTGAAATGGAAAAGTTTTAGTTTCACCTGCTTTATTTTTT